GATTAAAGGTGTGCGCCACCACCACCCGGCTAATCCCAGATTTTTAAGGGGAGATGTGCAGACCCTCTATCTTTATTGAACTCCTTTATATATGTATTTCTTTGCTTCGATGACAAATCAGAACTCTGCATCCCATTCTTCACCCTCTGCCCTAGGCTAGGGTGTTCTGTGAATATTAAATGTTCTTTGAAGTCCAAGCCCATATTCTTCACTGTTATTTGCACACTTCTCTCGGTGATCATTTACATCAGGTGTCTAGAACAATTCTGCAGGGATTTTTAAAGAGAAAATTCTCAAAAGACCAGGTACATAGCTCTGCTCTAAGAAACTTTTCTCAGTTAGACATTTATGGGTTCTTTTTTTATTTTAAGACAGCATCTTAACTGCATCGTTCTGGGTGCCCTGGAATTCTCTACCTAGACCATACTGACCTCTCCCTCTGCCTTTGGCTCCCAAGTGCTTGTATTAAAAGTGGGCCCCACCATGCTCCACTATATTATGAATGTCTTATTGTGGGCAAGATGTGCGAAAAGTTTGAGGACAGGGCCTTTAAAGCGGTGATTTAATTAAATGAGGGTTATTAGGGTGGGGACCGAGCCAACCTGATTGGTGCCCCAAGGAGAGTAAGATGTGCCAGAGTTACTAGGAAAAGGCCCTGTGAGGACACAGTGAGGTGGCTCTTTGGAAGCCTAAGGGGGAAACAGCAAGCCAGGATATGCTAAAAATGCATTACTCCAAACCCTGAATCTCCAGTGACCCTCACTGAGACTACATGATCACTCCACATCCATGTTCTAAATCCTCTCCACGTCCTTGGCATTATTACACATGGCTGCCTGCCTCCAAGTCCCCGACGCCTCCTTTTTCCTTCCCTCCCAATTCAGGACCTGGCTTCACTCCACGCACTAAGAGGCAGAATCAGAAGACCAGGGCTTCCGTAACCTGTCTCTATCGTGTGTGGACCCCCCACCTGTCCACTCACATCACACCCACAGATTGTCTGCCTGACACACAAAGCATCCCAACAACGCTGTGGAGAAGCCAACCTTTCAGGAAGTGAGTGGGAGGGAGCCCTTGGGATTGGATTACTGCTGTTATTTTGGGAGTGTGGCAGTTACTAGGGAATGAGTCATATCGTGTGTGTCCCCCCACCTCCAAACCCCCCAACCCCCCAACCCCGTTCCCTCAGGCAGTCAAGCCATCTGCGTCTGCCTTTTTGTCGTGGGCCCTCGCCAGACCCAACCCCTTGGTCCCGGACTTTTCACCCTCTAGAACCATGAGATAAAAACAACTTTCAGGAGCTGGTTCTCTCCTTCCACTGTGTGGGTTCTGGGGACAGAACTCGGGCCTTCAGGGTTGGCAACAAACACCTTTCTCATCCAACCAAACTCCCGCTCCTTACACATTATCCAGTGCCAGATATTTTGTCATAGGAGCACTACACGGACCAAGCACTCCACGGCTCCCAGGCTACTAGCATATCTGTACACCAGTGTTGGACTCAGAAATTCTGCCTTTTTGTTTTAATTCCTCTGTATGTGCACAATGGTAGAATGAGCAAGTGGGCACCGATAAATAACGGATTGACTATTGATAGGGATGCTCACATCAACAAAGACCAGACACAAAGGGAAGTTAAAGACACTAAAAACAAATTATGATTCTTTACGACTTGTCTTAGAAAATAAGAAAAAGCTTATTTTCCATATTTTGCTTTCACATAGTCCTTGCCATACTTTAAAGCAGGTTCCGCACTGTGAAATGTCCCCAGCCAAAGATGGACGGTCTCCAGTCAGGGTGTTGGGTGCGGATGTGGAAACGTGGGCACGGCAGTCCAGCATCTGCTTCTATGGTGGAAGCTCCTTTCCCAAGCCATTTCCCAAATCAAGTTTACAGTCCCCCTGCTCAAGATCAAGGGCAAAGTAGAGAAGCAGAATTAGACAGTCCTCTCCCAGAAGCTGGGGAGTGAGGGAAGGAAACCAGGCCCGCTACATTCATTAATTCCATTCTCCAAAGAGCAGAAGCATTGAGATGCTACCTGAAGTCATGGGCCTGAGAGCCTCTAATCTCAGGTAAAAATAAAACCTACTTTAACATCAAGATTCAGCTTGTGCTTACCCAGGTGTCTTAGGGTTTATTGCTGTGAAGAGACACCATGGCCACAGAAAGTCTTATAAAGGAAAACATTTAGTTGGGCCTGGCTTACAGTTCAGAGGTTGAGTCCATTATCATCATGGTAGGAAACAAGGTAGCACACAGGCAGACATGGGCTGGAGAGGTAGCTGAGAGTTCTACATCTAAGATCTGCAGGCAGCAGGAAGAGATTGAATCACATTAGGCTTGGCTTGAGCTTCTGATACCTCAAAGCCCACCCCAAGGGACACACTTCCTCCAGCAACACCACACCCACTACAAGGAGGCCACACCTTCCAACAGTGCTGGTTCCCATTAGCCTACGAGACCATTTTCATTCAAACTATCATGCCAGGGACGACCCCCCAAAAGGTTAAGCTTCATGAGTACTAGTTACCACTTATGGTATCTGAAACTCTGTCAGCTCTCAACTGGGAGCTAAGTATGGCAGCATATGCTTGGGATGGCAAGACTTGGGGGAGCTAAGATAGTAAAATCACGAGTTCAAGGCTAGCTGGGGCTATACAGTGAGATCTCGCAAAAAACAAACAAACAAACCAGAAACTTCTGGGTCAGGGTATGGTTCTTTAGAAAAACAGCACCAATGTTTAAAGTCAATTAGACAACTTCAAAATGTGCCATTTAAATTGTTTTTCATAAACCAAGATACCCAGGTAAACCTAACTAAGACGTCTGTGCATTAAGAAGACTCAGTCTGAAAGAGCTACACTGTGAAACCTTCCTCAGAAGAAACCTACCTCCTCATTTCAAAACCACGACACAGGGCAGGAGAGATGGCTCAGCAGCTAAATACACCTACTGGTGGCCCTAATGACCAGAGTTCTATCCCCAGACCCACATTCTGAAAGGAGAGCACTGAGCCCCCAAATTATCCTTTCACCACAGAATGCACACACGCATACAAAATAAATAAAGATATAGCTTAAAACCCCGAAGCCCATAATACAGAAAAAAAATCCCAACTGTACCACATTCTATGCTAATTAAAGTCATTTAGCCTTGTGGCCAGTGTGGCGTTTGACTTTAACTCCCTACATTCTTGAATTTTGGAGGATAACGCATTGTTTAGGATAGACCTTTCATGCTCTTTAAATATTTGCAGTTTGGTTTCAGAGGAAAGGTCAGCTGGAATGAATCGGATCTAAAAATAAAGTCTCACAGTCTCGGTGGAATTCTAGGCCTCACTGAAGCCTTACTGGTTGTCGGTAACTAAAGACAGCTGCGTGTCTTCGGATCCTCCTCTGATAGGTTCACATATTCCTTTGTTTGTTTTGTCTTTTCGATAAAGGATCTATCGGAGCCCAGGCTGGTCTTGAACTTGTTATGTTGCTTACTCTGGCCTTGAGTCACTGATCCTTCGACCCTAGCCTTCCGATTGTGGAAATTACAGGCATGTGCTTGAATACACAGGCTCATTTATCCCCTAGCATGTTTCCCAAACTCGATGTGTGTTCTGGGGATGGAACTAATACCAGGCTTATGAGGGTTAACAGGCTAACAGTAGACAAGGAAGGTCCTAAAGGAGTTTAGGGAGAGATGTCTTAGGATAATGATGCTTACTATGGAAACAACAGGCCCTGAGTTCAAATCCTCAGCACACGTGTAAAATTTGGGGGTGGCCATGTGTACCCATGACCCTGGTGTTGGGGTGCGGAGGCATGTAAGATCCAGAAGTTGGCTAGCCAGCCAGACTAGCTAAGACAAGAGCATGTCAGGTTGAGTGAGAATCCCTGTCTCAGAAAATAAGGTAGGGACCAATAGAGGAAGATGCCCAGCATCCTCTTCTGGCATCCAAATGGGTGTTCCCAAATGCACAGAAAGGAGGGAGATGGAGAGTGACACACACAGAGACAGATTACCCAGAGAAGGTACCTAAAACCAGAAAGCCCTAAGTGGAAGTGCATTGGGCTTAGTGTTAGAGGCAGCTAGAAAATGGGCAGACACAGAGAGGACCAGCCAGAGAGACAGAAGACTCCATCACCATCACCGTCATTTCTGTTTGTTTTCAGATAAGGTCTTGCTGTCCAACCCCGATGGTCTGCTACTCACCACAATGGGAACCAAGCTGATGTCAGGCCCGTGGCAACCCTCTGGCTTCAAATGCAGGAGTCACTAATGACTTGATTTAAACGTGTGGCAAGATGATCCTTGCCAGACATGGCTCCAAAATCCTGCTCTTCCCAGCTTCAAGGTCACAAACCCGAACCATTGCATTTCTGTTTAGTATAGGGATCCAGCCCGAGGCACCCCATAATAGTATCACAAAATGGTCAAAGGTGGATTCAACTCGCTCAGAGTCTTCAAGAACCTTTTGAATTTAAGGACCCAATGTGGAGACTGATTGCTCTTAGCGGCCATCAATCAATCAATCAATAAACGCGGCTATAGTACAGCCAATTAGCCTGAGCAAGCACAATGAACCACCACCTGATCACAACAGACTTGGCCAAATTCTAATTCATGGATTTCAATACAACAACCTTTCTGCTTCTTTATTCCTATTGTTTCTAAAACAGAGGATGAGGAAGATAAGAAAAAGAAGAGAGAGAAAAAGGATGGGGGAAGGAGGAAGAAGAAAAGAAGAAAGAGGGGAGGAATGGTGAGGGGAGAGGGCACTAAAAAGGAAATTGAAAGGAAAAAACAAAGAAGAGAAAAAAGAAGAATTAGCCTGGTGTGGTTAACTCACATCTATAACTCCACCTACATGGGAGGCAAAGGGGGGTGATTCCCAGTGTAAGGGCTGTCTACATCCTATAGCAAGTTCTTCCAGCCTGGAAGACCTAGTGAGACCCTCAAGAAAAGAGGGTACTGAGGAAGCAGCCCAGAGGGCGCGTGCTTGCCTGGCACGTGTGCGGTCCTGGGTCTAACACTCAGCACCACCCGAGGAAATGACACAGAGCTTGCTTTTCTCAGAATAAGATGTTCAAACTGCTCTTCTCATACGCCGCCTGTATCTTTTAACCTTTGTATGGTTTGTTCCACACCTAGGGCACGCTCAGCATCTTGTCGCTGTGGGACGCATCCAGCATCTTCAGGTGAAGGTCACTCTTGCATTCATTTCAACCTTTGTTTTCTCCCCGATCAAAATATTTGCTTTGGCCGTGCTACCGGACGGTTCCCAGAAAAGCTTCCTTCAGCTGTGGGTAAGTTCTCGCGCTTCCTGTCTTTCACTCTGCAGAGACAATTCAGAGAAGACTGGCCGTGAACCCTTTGTTTTCAATTTCCTCGCCTTTTGGACCACTGTGTTGTGGACCAGCAGCTCTTCTTCACGTGAGAAGACAGACGCTTGGTAAACGTATAGGAATTTCATTTAATTCCTGAAACACTTGATGAGCTAAGCAATTAGTGAACTTGGCCCAGTTTGCCTCGGACTGCCTTAACCTTGTGTCTGAACCCTTATCACAGTCCGGAAGTACTATATGACCCTGCGCACAAATGAGTCACTTTAGTCTGCCCTCAAAGGCATGGAGATAAACAAAAGCCCAGGGTCAGCAAGTGCGGACTTGTATCCACCTCAAGACCCCACATCCCAGGTCCATCCAGTCTTCCTCATAAAAACACTATGACTCCCATCTTTCCATTTACTTTCAGATGCATCCAAAGGCCTGCTCTCTGGTTCCAAGTCTGCCCAGATTTGTATCATTCGGTGAATTTCCTGCTAACTGTTTGAGTAAAAGCAACGAGGTTAAAGGAGGCTTCTCGGTCCTTGTTCTTGCAGAACAGCCGGCTCTTTGTCCTTCTGGAGTCTCTGGGGCTCAGCCCCAGCCTCTTCTTGGATAACATGTTGCTCTTCGTCCTGCTGGGCCGCAGCCAGGTCTAGTTCTCACCTCCCCTCCCCCAATAAGTTATTCCCTTTGGGCAGCCCCAATGCAGACATGCACACAGTGACTCCCTGTCCTCGGCAGTCGGGCTTCCAGAACATTCCCTGCCCAGTTTGTGAATCTAATACCCGATATAAAATTTCTAATTACAGGCACTCAATTCTCTCTCCTAGGAGATCTGAAGCTTCAAACACTAGCTCTTTGCCAGATCTTTTCTTCTGCCTGGAAAGCCCTTGCCAGACAGCCACATTTCATTCTGTCCGGTCCAGGCGTTTTATCTGCTCTCCACCAGACCAACGCAAAATGCTTCATGTGCCGGCTGTGCAGGCAATCCACTTCCAGTATCTGTGTGTGCACACTCCCACCATACCAGCCTGCTGTCTAAAGCGCCCCAGAGGTATTTCTCAGGTTCTGGCAAAACCACCGAGATGCTTCTCAAACAAAAACCTTTACAATTTCAAAGAGTGTTGGGACAATGGGAGTTTAGATGCATCCGGGGCTTTTTCTCTGTGCCTTTATATCAAACGCCTTTATATCAAACCCGCAGAACAGTGGGTGCCAGATTCAGATGTGAAGTGCTGAAATTATAAAATGCAAATGCCATTTGGCAAGAGGGAAGTCTGATGGATTCATATTCAAATGTTTGCAAAATTGAACTCTTTGGCTTGTGTGTGTTCTAGAGTGCTGGCCAGAAACTTTAGATCCCCAGAATTGGTGAAGACCCTGACCAGCATCAGCAAGGCAATAAAATGGCTCAAAACCAAAGACCATAAAACTCTGATATATCTTGTCTATTCTGGATACTAACGGATATATTTGCAGTTCCTGTATGGCATGTCCTGCCAGAGACCTAGGTAGGTTCAAGGTGGCCCTAGGAAATGTGAAGCCAAAAAGGCCATCGGCACTGCCTATGTCCTGGATTCATCATGAGAAAGGGTCAAAGGCGGAGGCAGAGAGAAGGATCCTGGGAAACTCTAGGGAGAGCAGACCACTCTGGAACCTCTGTTGATAGACATTTGGCTGGATTATCTCCTGATCTGCATTTGGGGGGGCGCGCAGTATGCAAGAGAGCCCAGACAGAAAGAAATCTTGCACACAAATCTGAGCATGAGCCTTCCTGTCCATTTAATCCCCAGTACAGTAGCTGTAGTCCTGAGGACGCTGACAGTGACTTTACTGACACAATAGAAAGTGACCCAGAGCATCTCCATCCGCTGGCTTTCCAATGGGGAGGCCGAGCTTTAGCAAGCCAACATACCAGATAATTTTAGTTTATGGAGGTGGTTCTCAACCTTCCTAATGCTGCAACCCTTTCACACAGCTCCTCATGTGTGGAGACCCCCAACCATAGGATTATTTCCTTGCTACTCCACTACTGTAAGTTTGCTATTGTTATGAATCCTAACGTAAATATCTGATATGCAGGATATCTGATATGCGACTTCCAAAGAAATCAGGACTCAGGCGGAGAACCATGGGTTTGCGGTAGTTACCATGAACAGGCGAAGGCAGCCTCACACGGCAGCCACTGAAACTTTCTCTAAGGAGAACAACACTTTAGCTAAACACCAAGGGATGACAAGGAGAACACAGGACAGGAGTGATGTAGGTGGGCCTTCTGTCTATGTGTTATTTTCATTGGTTAATAAAGAGAGTGCCTTGGCCCTTTGAGAGGACAGAAAATTAGGTAAGCGGAGTAAACAGAACAGAATGCTGGGAAGAGGGCAATGAGGCAGACGCCATGGAGCCAGCCACCAGGTCAGACATGCTGAATCTTTCCCGGTAAGCCACCACCTCGTGGTGCTACACAGATTATTAGAAATGGGTTAATCAAGATGTGAGAGTTATCAGTAACTAACTCTCTAGAGATAATGGGCCAGGCAGTGTTTAAATGAATACAATTTGTGTGTTGTTATTCCGGGGCTAAGCTAGCCATGCGAGAGCCGGGTGGGACGAAAAGCAGGCCTGCCCGCAGCTCCTTCACTACAGAATACAGTTTCCGTGTAATTATTTTGGGTGTAAAGCTAGCCAGGTGGGCGGTGGGAAGTGGCCCGCTATTCCTTCTACACAGGAGCTCTGAAATAGTGAAGACCAGAAGGTCTCTGAGGAGCCTTGGTATTGTGTGACAAAATTTTCCTGGGGAACACTACACATGGTCATCTACTCACCCCCATAGGAGCCGCGACAGACCTAAGTACAGACACCACCAGAGTCTAACTTGGTGAACCAATGAGTTTTGTTGCGGTTTACCTACAGGAGGGTGCATGGGTGAAGGGTTACATACAAGGAGCAGAAATGACTCAAAGACAGATGCTCCACTAACGCCCACTCCAGAATGGGAGACAGCTCACACAGCTGGGAACCTGGAGCACACTGCACAGTCTGCAGGAAGCTCAGCAGGTTGAACAGTGTCCTTTTCAAATGACTCTGATCCCAAACCTCTTCCAGGCAGCTCAGCTGGTCTCAGAGTCTTCTTGGCAGCTTTTATTGCTCTCTCTAGGAGGAAGAGGCATAGAGAATCGTGTCAGTTTGGGGGACTTCCTGAAACTATTTAGAGTTGTTTACCTTCCTGCTTAAGAAGCGCCCCTGCAGGCTGGAATTTTCTATCTCAGAGTAAACGCTTACACAACACAAGGAAATAGTGGGGCAGAAATGAGAGAGACCAGAGGGAATATGTGAGCATCCAACAGAGGCCTTGTGCAAATCAGGGCAGGGTTAGTATTTTACTCCTGTTACAGTGGGTGGGCAAGGGGCCGTAGATTACTTTGGGTGGAACCTCATGGCCCACACATGCAGGTGGGAAAGCTATATCCTGCAAAAGTCATCTTATACCCAGGGTCGTGGGTTTTTTTTTTCTGTTCACAAAGAGAGATCACCTTGCAGTGCCAATCATGTTGCCCACCTGTACCCCCAGCCCTTGCAAAAGGACTCTCTCTTCACAGATCTGCTCAAGGTGTGCCAATTAGAACTTAGGTGCAGGCCAACGTCATGAACCGTTCCACCTGAGATATGAGGGCACTGGTTGTCTACCAGGGGTCTTCATGACAAACTAAATATTTACTGAGTCCTTCATAGATAGAATGGAGATGGCAGCAAGGGAAGCACAGTCCTGACGATCATGGAGCTTGACCCAAATGAAGGGAGTCAGCAGAGGGCCACCACACTAGCATAGGAGGGACATGTAATGGTTTGACCCAAGTTGGACCCAAAATGAGGACTGAGAAGCGTTAACCCACTGCTGGCATCTGTATGTGCGGCTTTAAAAGCTGAGAGGATGTGTGTGTATGCTTGCAATCCCAGCATTCGAAAGGTACAGGCAGGAGGGTCAAGGAGTCAAGTTCATTCTTGGCTACTTAGTGCGTTTGAAGCCAGCCAGTCTGGGTTACAAGGAAGCCTGTTTCCAAAATCAACCAACCAAATAAATATGAACCAGAGCCATTTCTGTCTCTGTCTCCCTCTAAAGAACTTTGAGTCAGAAAACAGACCTATTGAAACTGATGCAGAGAAAAGTTGGACAGATCATGACAGGTTGTGTAAACCAAATTTACAAAGAAGTCAGCCCAGGAATATGTAGAGGCTGTAGCAAGAAGCGCGTTATGAAGCATGATGTGTAGGGGAAAACAGAAAAAAGAGAGACCGTGTGGCCAATGAAAAGGCAGAGTAGGTAGCAATTCAGAGCTGGAGAGCACCCCAAACCTTCCAGGTTCAATTCCCTTAAGGTTTAATGTCATGTCACGAATTACCATGAGTCTTGTCTGGCTTATTGTTCTGCATAACGGCTTCTCTCTCCTTACTTGTATAAACTAACTTGATTTTTTTTTCTTACAATATAAGAAATGTGACTACCAGCGTAACGAGGCTGGGCGTGGAGGCACAGGCCTTTAATTTGAGCCCTTGGGAAGCAAAGGCAGGCAGATCCCTATGATTCTGAGGCCAGTCTGTCTACACAGTGAGTTTTAGACATCCAAAGACACACAGTGAATCTGTGTCTCGGCAACAAAAATGGCAATGACAACCAAATTGTAAGGATTATTTTTTTAATCTCTTAAACTAGGTCTCAATATGTACCTGTAGCTGCCTGCCTGAGAACTCACTCTGTAGACCAGGTCTGCCTTGAACTTGAACCAATCATCCTGCTTTGACATCTCAAATGGATTATTTATATAAACCAGTTCTTCAAGAAGATATAAAAACAGCCTGTGTGGTGGTGAATGCCCATAATCCCAGGACTTGAGAGGCAGAAGCAAAAGTATCAAGAGTTCAAAGTCATCATCAAATACATACATGGCAAATTTAAGACCAGCCTTAAATATGTAAGACTGGGTCTCAGAAAGGATCAAAGGAATACTGTCGCCCTTGGTTGTCTCCCAGAGGTGTAAGGTAAGTCCTTAGTGCTGAAGACACTGTGTACTCAGACCCAGGAAGCAGAATATTTGAGCTGGATCTGAACTGAAAACCTCCTCCCTCGCTTTCATGGCACCAGGAGATGCCACACAAGCTGTCAAGGGGAGAAGCCACAAATAGTCCTACCCAGCTGTGAGGTCTGTGAACCACAGCAACTACCAGCCCTGCCCAAGACACCCAAAGCAGCAATGATGGCACTCATATCTTGGCAGTAATAAAAAGTTCTCTAATTGTATTTAAGACCAGCTCAACAGAAGGGGATTCATGCCTCGAACTAGAAACCTTGACAACTACCTGAGGCTAGTGAACCATGGATCTTAGAGGAAAACCTAGTAAAGCCACTTTACTAGACCGGAATAATCCCTAACAGCATTCTAAATACTCATATTTATACCCACAGATGTGTGTAACCTGCCACCCCTCGTCAAAGAGGTTTCTCTTTGCACCTGATGGAGATCACCGCAGAACCACAACTAGTCAAAATACAGAGATCATGGGGCGCCCAACCCGAAAGGATCTAGCTACAATACAATCCAACATCGAAGGCTCAGGGAACATTGTGGAAGAGGGGCCAGAGAGACTATAAGTGTCAGAAGACTGGGAATACTGTCTCCTAGAAATGACAGGAAAGCCACACCCATGCTCCCTCCACAGTTTGGCTGCCGAGACAAGACCCAAACAGTGACAACACTATTGGATGTGCTGACTTGCAAGCTGCAAAGCTCAGGGAGACCCATCCCTAGCCACAGAACAGCAGGCAGCTAACAGCTGCTGAGATGGGGAATCAGTCTTCCCCAGGAACGCATCCTCCCAATAGGTGATCTAACACCAAGTGGTCAGAGCTGAATCGTGTACATACAAGCAACACTAAATGGACTCAGCAGGCTGTGTTTATATACTTACCTGCGCATACGTGCACACCACACACACACACACACACACACACACACACACAAGCCAAAGAAAAAGAAGCCATGAATTTGAGAGGGAGTCGTGGAGGACATGAAAAGTGTTGGAGGGAGAGAACATAGGAGGGGCTGGAGGGAGGAAATGGAAGGAGGAAAGCAAAATAATTACATTTGAATTAAAATTGTTAAGAAGGAGAAAAGGTTCATGCGAACAGAATGCAGGTTAAGACAGGTATAATGAGAAATATAAGTTGGAAGTGATCAATAATGTCCATTGAGTACGGAACAAATACTTTTCAATACGGGGACCACATGGAGATCAAAACGTGGCGTGGGGGTCAGCGAGATGGTTCAGTGAGTAAAGTTCAACATGGTACAAGGAGAAAACCCA